CCCCTGCACCCTCGCCCACACCGCCCCTGGCCTCACCCCTGCCTCCCCTGCACCCCTGCATCCCCGCCCCCACACCAGCGGTGAGTGTGGCCCCGGGGGGGGTCCGAGGAGGGGTAAAAATCATGTTTTTGATTTTTGGCCAGGGGGGGCAGGCTCTCACTGCACACCCCCCAGTATTTTTGTATTTATTATTTAGAATTTGTTTTTTTCGGGGCCCTGGTCTACACATCTGAGTGACCCTTTTTAAAAGGAAAAAAAAAAAAAAAAAAAAATTAATGTAGGAAACTTGAATGGTAGCCATCTTCTGAACGCACTCGGGGCATAGTCACACTAGGACGTTTTTTACTTAGTTCTAGATGTGATTGCGACCAGATTCATCCAGGTCTGGTCGTAAGTGCAACCAGATAGTAAGAGACATTTAAAACTGTGCTAGTGTGAGCATGCCCTCAGAAGAGTCGCAGTACAAAATCAAAGAAGACGGCTCAACAGTTTCCGCTCCTCGAGGCTGAACACGACCCCATTGCGATGATTGAAGAGAAAAAATTGGAAAGAGGTAAACAAGGATCCGATAGTTTGATAAAATTATTCCGTGTGAGACTTTTTCATGAGCAATATTTATTTTGCACAATTAGTAGAGCTTCACAGTAAATACAAAATCATTGGCTCTAAGGTTCCCACCTCCCAGGACGGCCAGATCGAGATGATAACCTTGCCCTTTCCTGAGGGGGTACTGAGGACCGCACACCAGACGAGTGGTAATATTCTGCAAAAAAAAAAAAAGAAAAGAAAGAAACAGAGGGGAAAAAAACGAGGAAAAGTCATTTCAATCATTCATTAATTTCACGATATTTCACTGGTAGCCTGGGAGGAAACTCAAGTTTTTGCAGATTCTGTTTGTGGCTGGGCAACCAGCCGGGCCGCCCGGTCAGCTTGTTTGCCTGGGCCGTACGGCTGTGCAAGGACAAAAGAAGGTCCGAGAAAAAAAAAAAAAAAAAAAAAAAAA